AGAATTAACCAAAACTGGTGTTAGTGAACCTTTATAAGTCACTCTTCTTAACCAAGAGCAATAAAACATGAGTATTGCAAAAGTCGTGCTTTAAATTCCGATCCTCGAACTCATAGAACGTAACAATATTAAAATATTAATTAATATTAAATTTTATAACTATATTTTCATTACGTAATAATCTAAAGCGGGTAAAATATAGTTTTTTTTATTAAACTAGATTACTTTAAATATGTAGATTATATTATGTAAATTGTTAGTTTTACTTATAAGATTTTATAAGAAAAATGGTAATTTATCACTACATTGCTAAGAAAGTAACTATGTATAAAGAATTTTAATTGAAAGTTCTCAATTGGCAAGTAACAGGTAATTACACTATTACTATCGCTGCACTTGGCAAAGGCCAAGCAATCACTACTAAAATACCCAAGTCTGGAGCCGTTGTTACACCTTTTATTATACTCGTAAAGTTCATTACCGATAACATTATGCGAAGAAAAGGAGTGTTCTGCACTATACTCTAGATAGATATCTTTAATATTAATTTATATCATAGTAGCATTTGCCTGCAACTTCTGCTTGTTGGATATTTATCAACCACTAAATATGAACCCTTCTTTTTACGGGCGCATGTCAATTGGGAAGCTTGTATCTTTGAAATTATTCTACCGATTGGAATAAAACAACCACGCGTTTTATATATTATATAACTAGCGACTCGCCCTCGTTTCGCTCGGGTTCATCCCTAGGTATGTTTTAACGGCGAGTATGGAATAGATTGACTATATATTATATATACATAGGTACAAAAGTAACAGTTCTGAACTTTTCAATTTTGTAGCTATTTTTATGGGTTTTCGTCTATTTTTTTATACTTAAAACACCCCTGACATACCACTAACAAAACAAAAAAAGAATTATTCAAATCGGTCGTTTTTGAGTTTAGCGAGATTAACGAACGGCAACTATGAACATTAATTTTTGGCAAACTTTAAAGAGGATGTTTTTTTAACTATAAATTTTACAAAAAAATAATTTATATAGTAACATTATTTCCTCAAAATATACGTAGAGCTATAATTACAGTTTTATAAAGTACTAGTATTGCCCGCGGCTCCGCCCGCGTTCAGATGACCAAAAACTAAATTCTTAGGTTGTACATATTAGTATACTCTTACAATACAGTTTTTGTATTTTTTCTCAGAAATGAGATGTTTTCCTGCGGTAAAAAATCCTATATGCTGACCTGGATAATCAGCTATCATCATACCAAATTTCATCAAAATCTGTCCAGTGGTTTTCTCGTGATGCGGTAACAGACAGATAATCAGACAAAAATTCTAAAATTTATAGATTCGGACTCTGTATCAATAATAATGTCTATTTCAATTAGATTTTCCAAAAAATATTTAATGTACAGATTCGACTTAGTTACAATTTTATTATACCTATGTATAGATTCAGAGTAGTTTTATGACATGTTAAAATAGCTTGGCGTTATGACTAGAAACAGGGCTCACGGGAAATATTTAACAGTACTTTTGTATGAAACCAATGTATACCAATGTAAAACTTTGATAGAGATCAAAGGCAAGGAAAGTGATTTATAATTTTTTTATTTTATTTATTTATTTACTAAACACAAACAAACTATACATACCTGCTACATCCTTTTTGCTTTGTATTTACTACCATTTATTTTGTATTTATATTACCCAATAATACATATAATTTTTAAAAATTTGCAATTAATACATATTTTTAATTTACCAATTAGAAATAGTTTTGATACATTACAAAATTATTTACAAACTTAGTAATTACACAACACTTTTATGGCAGTAATTTCATAAAATAACTTCACAAATATATTAACAGAAAATCTACTTAATGTACAAAGTTGAAGTTAAAAACTGTGTTCATAAAACTTTCTAAATATTTATTTATTTGGAAGGATTTTTAAGGTGGAATGGAAACTTTTAGGCTGCTGTCAACAGCTTTCAAAGCTTTTTAACGCGCGTTTATTAGTATCTCTTGTTACTACGTTCTTAATCTTGAAAGCCGATTTAAACCTTGTTTTAAAAGAAAAATATAAAACCTAAATTGCGTCAAATATTTTTATAAACGTCAAATTGAATTCATTATATTTTGATAAAGTTTTCTTAAAAAGAGTCATGCTCAAGCGTGCCTATTTAGTAAAATTAGGCTCTCGTTAAGTTTTTTAACGAGAATATTAGTATAGTATTCATAAAAAAGCAGTTCTAAGCTTTTGATGTTTACAGTAACACTTTTTTAATTACTCATGTTAAAATTTCAGCTTTAATAGCGTTTGATTGAAAAATATTAATTTAATTTTACAGCATAGAACTGGTAATTTCAGGCAGGAGACAGAAGAATGTTCAAGTTACAATATCAAATTCAAATTAATTATTCAGCATTAAATTATTACAATTTTTGCTGAACGTCCAGTCAGTCTACTACTTTGAATTGGATATTCAAATTAGCACATTACAAAAATGAGCCTTATCGTATTTTACCTACATTTAGTCATTTTTGATATTATATATAGAAGGTTTTTTTAGGATATTTATTGCGAAACCGATGTTTAATCTATTCCGAGATGAAACTTCTATTTCGACCGCTAATAAGTTTAAAAAAATAACTTTTAAAATTTATTAATATATAAGTTAAAAATCTTAAATTCAACTTAAATATGCATATTTATTTCATTCTAAATATACTTTGTATCTTTAACACTTGATTTTACAACTAGTTTTCCTCCACAGCACCTCTGACATATCGTTGATAAAACTAGCTCGTGTTATTCAATCCTATTTTGTAATAGTTTTTAGAAGAGACTCAGTAGTTCTAGTCATTATGCTTTATATATAAACAAACACATTTTACCTCTTTATGATGGTAAGCAATTCAGTATAAACGTACTAGCCACTCACCCTCGCTTTGCTCGGGTTTGTCCCTAGCTTGCCTCCCAATATAAACTTTCATCCCCATTTTCACCCCCTTAAGGAATGATTTCCGGGATAAAAAGTATCGTATGTCCTTCCCAGGGTTTCAAACTATTTTCTTACTAAATTTCATTTAAATCAGTTCTGTAGATACAGAGATTACCCCTACAACGTCACAAACTCACAAGCTTTACCTCTTTATAATATTAGTATAGATAATTTATGGCTACCGCACAATCATCGGCAAGTCCTTGCAAATATCATAATGCCATTACCATATACTGCAGTTACATTGATTTTTTCAACAAACACGGAATTTAAAAAGGCTATTTGTATGCTTGAAACGTGCGGTCAGAAACTTAAATAGTTATGTATAGCAATGCGGTGGAACGGAAACTCTTAACCGACAAGCGTGCTGTTCGGGTCACGATTTTGCGTTGAATGAATATGTATTTACAATAATACCAATTTCCATGGGTTTTTTTTTCACATTGGTTCGAAAAGCTAAGACGTAACGCCTAAGTCATTTTCGTAAAGCTTTTTTTTTATTTTAATGCCATTTATTTGTGTTTCATATACTAGCGTCTAGTGACTTTTAGCTAATTGCTAAAATTATTATTAAAATAACTCTACATTCTTACATTGCACTTACTCTACATTCTTACATACTCTCCTTATAACATTAAATTAGGATTCAGTGTCCAACAAACTTAAAAAAAATTATTATAATGAATACTAATAATATTAATGTTACTCTGTCTGTTACCTTTACACGCTCAAACTGCTGAAAAGATTTCGATAAAATTTGGAAAGGGCATAAATTGCATCCTGGGGGTGAAGTGAAGCCGCGGGCAAAAACTAATATTAAATAAGGATGCAATATTGGTAATTTAACTTAATTTCTTATAAAATGTCTAATTATATAAAAAATCTAGTTTTAGTACCAATTTAAAGGTCATAACATAACCCATAAGCCAACCCAACTTAGCTAAAGCAAAGTTTATTGAAACCGTGCTAGTAGTCATATGAGATGTTATTTAAAAATGATAGTATAAATCTAAATAAAAAATATTGTGGAACGTTCAGTATATGCAATGCATAGTTCATTGTTATATTTATACATGATTGAGTTGAATTCTACGAGTAAATATGTATACAATTTCATAGATATTTCTATAATATTATTAAGTTTATTCAATACGATTTATATAGAAATCTAATATCAGAAATAGAGTAACATTAAATGTAAATTATAAACATAATAAGTGGGAAAAATCGATTATTTTTCTTATTTTATTTTATAAATTTAAGGAAAAGATATATTATGGTACAGTTTTTGCCCAATTAAAGACGAATATATATATAACAGCATCATTCTATTTGTATTGTATTTTTGCATAAGCTTTACGCAATCCGCGACCGTGGAATTGTGTTTGAAGGTAGATCACAATCGTCGAAAACGCAACGTTTAATTGATTAGAACGAACGAAATCGTTACGATACAACATCAATTAAGTACTAATTATACTTCCTTTTATCATAGTCTGTTGAGGACTATTTGGATGGTTTCAATTACAATTTTTATAAAGCCATTATGCACGATGAAAATTACTTTAATTATGTATTGGATCTTGTATTGATCAATAATACCTAATTTCACTAAAAGATATTTAAAGATGATGTGACGCGTTCACACTGTAAAACCTCTATTAAAAATTAAAAAAAACCGTTTGCAATACTCTATACAATAAGAAATAACTGAACATGGTATTTTACCTATTAGGTATCTAAACAGGAGGCTTAGATATCGTTCTACAATTGTTGAAGAATAGAAATGTATAGAAATATGTACAGAAATTATGGATCATTTATTCTATAATAAAATATTTTATGATAAATTGTTTATAATTTTTATTGTGTAATATGTGTATATTTTTGTTGTTATAACTCTTATACTTGCTAATAGTTTTTAAATGTTAGTTTTTAACTTGCCATAGACTTTGATACTAAAATAGGTACTACCTTTGACAGGTGACTTGCCTCGACCACGGAGTAAAGGGGAGTACGTGTTTGTGATTGCCCAGCTATTGTTCGGACTGCTGCTCTTTGCCACGGTGCTGGGGCACGTCGCGAACATTGTCACATCCGTCAGTACCGCCAGAAAAGAGTTTCAGGGTGAGTTTAAATTTAATTTTCGTATATCCTTACTAATATTATAAATGCGAAAGTGTGTTTGTTTATTTGTTTGTTCGTCCTTCTTTCATGTCGAAACAGAGTAACGGATTGGTGTGATTTTTTGTGTACAGTGTACCTACCAAATATACAAAAAAAAACATTAAAATCGGTCGAGCCGTTTCGGAAGAGTGCGACCAAAAACACCGTAACACGAGATATTTATATATGAACGAATGAAATTTAATAAAACTTTTTTGATATCATTTTCATCCCAATTTGTATATAGTTTTTTAGGAATTTAATAAAAATATCGCTTTTTGCTTTGAATTGTTTTTAATCTTTGGTTTGATGTTCTTGGGATTGTTCTACAATTGTTCTTTTTTTAATAAGTATTTTGCGATTAGTATTTTTTTCCTTTTTACGATTTTTCCCCTAAAAAACTTAAAAAATATCTTGTATTAGTAAAATATTAAAAAAAAAGTAGCTTTACATTACCATATGTTACAAAATAAAGCTAAATATATTATCAAACTCCGTTAAAACTCTGTTTTCGCGATCTATAAATATTATTCTAAATGTTCCTTCTCAAACAGAGTCGTGAAAACACTTGATTCAACGAGAGGGATTAAAAAGGCCTACTTCTATATATATTTTTGTTAAAATTTCCTTACACTTTTAACAAACGCATCCTTCTAGTCACTTAAATCTAGTGTTATTGTATTAAATATTTATATAAAGAAATATATATTTTACTAGCGATTCATCCTCGCTTCATTCGGGTTAGTGCCTAGTTACGTTTTAAAGTTTAGTATAGATTTCTCAGAGATGAGATATTTTCCCGCAGTAAAAAGTATCCTATATGACTCGGATAACCAGCTACAATCATACCAAATTTCATCAAAATATGTACTGTGGTTTTCTCGTGATGTGTTCCCAGACAGACAGACAGACAGACAAAAATTCTAAAAACTATAGATTCGGCCTATGTATCGATAGTAATGACTATTTCAATAAGACTTCATTTCCAAAATTATTTAATGTATAGATTCGACTCAGAATTTTATTATATGTATAGATTAAAATATAGTATTTAAAGACACTTGTTATATTATACAACAAAATAAAACCTAATACGAAGCAGAATTTTATGACGGCTGTAAACAAGCTTTATTTTGGGCACAATAATTTACCGTTCGTCAGGGTTCAACGCGTTCAATTATGAGCGTGATTGAATGTTGACATCCTTGAGGAAAAAAGGCATCGTTTGTATTTTTTACAAAAAGTTTTATCTTCAAGCTTATCGATGCTGATAGCTTATCGATAACCTGATATTACATGAGAACTTTTTTTTTATTCATGATAATAATGATAAAAAATAAGTATATTTTTTATTATTTTACCTAAATATCCATTTTAAACGCAAAAATGAAAACAATATTCTTATTAAAGTGTATTCGAAAAGCTAGTCATGAATAACGCTAATGCCAGCGGCTCAAAAGCGAGTGGAGGTAGTCCGGAGGGTGTCGCGGCAAGCAAGCGACATTAACGGGCTAAGCAGGTAGACGTGCCGGCACGCGCCGCTACGTGCGGCACCCATCAACAAAACAATCCTCCTCAATTATCCAACACTATTGCCAAGACCTTTTGCCATTTTCTAAAATTCAAATGACTCTACAATTTTATTATTGTAGTGTACAATATTCGCAATAACACCTATAAACAGAGCTTTTGATATACAAACTATGTTAAGTTTAATGTGCGGTATGGTAACATTTCCTTTGACACTCATATCTGCGCTCGGCTTGAGGTCACATAATAAAGTCTTCATAGCAAAAATATGAGAGAACATTGCATATAAGTTCCACGATCAATGCTAGGCGAGGATAGGATGAGCGTTTTATACAGAGAAAGCGGCAAAGTGTCAACAACTTTAATTAGCACTGCAGCTCGGTTGAAAAGACAATGGCGCCGCGACGACACAGAGCAGGCTGAATCCGTGACCTTCCTCGGTGGCGCTGCAGCGAAATAGGTCAGCGGCTTGAATGCTATAAATAGCTCGGCGAAAGTCGGGCGCGCCCCATCCCAGAGGGAGCGGAGCGTCCCGCGCGCGTCCGCTACCATCGATCGCCCGCCACTACATTCGCTTTGGTCGCTCGAAGCCCAAAGGTCTCTCCGGACCGAGCCTTGGATTTCGATGGTGATAATTGAGCCAGTCTATTATCTAGTTACCTTAGTTTAGTCTACCTCCTTCCCTCGACCAGCACGACTATCTTGTTTCACAAGTCACACTCTTAATAAACCACGTCAACATTACAATGTTATAGGCCATTTATCGTGAAATGTTATTCGTGTGGTCAATAGACGTAAGATATCATGATAAATAAGAGCTATCGCTTAAATAGACCTTTCGACTTCTATTATTGGCTATGAATTTTAGATATGCTATTCTGTTTGGTATTTATTGATTTGATAATTTGGCTTTGTTTGAATGTTTTAGGTAATAAAGCACTTTTGATATTATTATAGCTTTTTAAAATTATAAGTAAACTATTGACATATATTTAATAATATTATTTTAATGACAATATGTCGCCTAGTAAGCCGTTAGAATATTTTATATGACTTTTTTGCATATCTGTTATTAACCGCAGTACCCGACCGCTGTAAAAGAGCCCATATATTTGACTCTAGCGTGTTGAAATATTGGATATACATAAGAGTATTCTTGTTCCGGTTTACTAACGTTGAAAACCACCACCAAATATGAATCATCCTTTAAATAATTAAATTCTATTTGTTCAGTGTGAATGTGTAGTATTTCTAGAGGGTGAAGCTATTTGTTAATTTATTTTTAAACTAGTGCACTCACTACATTTTACTAGTGATTTTGTATTTTTTTTTTTCTATAAAAATGTCTAATATCTTACGGTGACCAATAAATGTAATACAATGTAAAGTAACCTAAGTTTTCATCTTAACTGTATGTATGCAAAAAACTATGCCGTTTCGATGCTGCATGAAAGACGGATAAAGAAATAAATACATTTTCGCATTTATATTATTACTAGCATTGCCCGTGGCTCCGCCCGCGTTCAGATAACCAAAAACAAAATTCTTAGATTTTACATATTAGTATACTCTTACATTGCAGTTTTTGTATTTTTTTTCTCAGAAATGAGACATTTTCCCGTGGTAAAAAGTATCCTATATGTTGAACCGGATAAACAGCTATCACCATACCAAATTTTATCAAAATCCTTCCAGTGGTTTTTCTGTGATGTGGTAATAGACAGACAGACAAAAATTCTAAAAACTATAGATTCGGCCTCTGTATATCGATACTACACGATATACACGATATATAATGTTTATTTCAATAAGATTTTCCAAAACATATTTAATGTACAGATTCGGCTTAGTTTTTATTCGCCAATTTTATTATATGTATATTAGGAATATTACTAGTTTAGACAAAATTAAATTTAATAAATAACCATCTAATTCGTTCAAAACTCATTTTGCAAATAATAATATAGAGCTACTTATTAATAAAATAATTGTAAAAAAACTTTTTTTAAAACATGATTTCCTTTAAATGCTCTAAAAAGAAGAAAATAAACATATTTTCTTCGTTTTAGAGCATTTAAACAAAAGTTTGTTTTTAAAAAAGTTTTTTTTACAATTATTATATTTTTTATTTTTAGATATTCGTATTTTTTTCAGCAAATCCTTTCATTAGATTGTGGAAATACACATATATACATACATATATTTTTAACAACTTGTAACTTACAATAAAATAACACAATACAAACATTAAAACATATTATATATTAAAGTATTTTATTTATTCATATACATATTATATACAAGTAGATATAACATTAATAAATATTTACATAACATATACATATAATAAAATCAATAAAAAATATAATAAAATATTAATTCCAAAGCAAACCCGTCGTAAAGGCGGAGTTTAGCGAGCATTCTATCGATGCGTGATACCTACGCACCGTTCACTGTTATGCCGTCGACACGAGTCGCCGCGAATCGTAGTTGCTCGCAACGATAGTCTGCGAATGTTATTCCAACGCGAGCCCGTGTTTGCTTGTGATTAAGACGCCCCGTTATACGTACTCGCTAATTGTTCCATGTTAATTATTTATCATCTTAATTTTCACTCTAGTATTCTTTCCTGTCTGTACCCCTTCTATTCTATGTGTATATGGACTGTTATATGTGTGTTGTGAACTATTTCTTCCGTGTATTTGTGCTTAATACAATTGAATTTAAAGAACTTAGTTTATGTTATTTATCTCTGCAACTACGACTACACACAACACCGACCATCCACCACCATAGATATACATATCATGGGGGTGCATAAAAAAACGTAAATTCGCCATCTTTAGGAGTCCGCTATATTGGATTTACAATGACGTCACTTTTCTTATTGTGTTTCGCTCATCAAACCCTTTCATTTGATGCCCATCATAAGGGTCACGAGGGAAATAATAAATCGACTTTTTGCAACGTCCGTTATATTGAATTAAAAATAGTGGCATTTAGGTAATCGTGAATTGTATCGGGAACTAAACTAGTATGCCAAGCTTCAGCTCAATCGGACACTGGTAAGTGGGTCAAACTTAACTTACAAGATTCCATTACACACATCGGTATATGTGAAATTAAATAAAAACTTGTAAAATACAATATTGACAATAAGCTACATTTATTTATTTTAATTATATGGAAAAATAAAGCTTGTAATACGAATACGTCTATTCACCATTCACAATATATTGCTATTGTTCCTATACAGGGCTAGAAGCGTTGTTTGTTCTCAGAATCGTACCTACATTTCGAAGTCAGTGCTATAGTGAGTGCCTAGTTTGTATTCAAATTCTTGGGCTAGTCTTGATGTAGTATCTGAGAAATTGAAAGTTGCAATATAGATTGATCTTGACTAATTATTTAAAATATCTGTTTTATTACTA